GATTAGAAACAGAGACAGACGGAGTCCGTTCTCCCGAATGAGGAAAGCGCCGACTTCCTTTTTTTTACCGTTTCTTCTTTTTTTTTTCTTTTTTTCCATTTCTGTCCCTGGAGAAAGGTCCTCCTCCACCTCATATTACTTGTTTCAATCGATTCCATTCCTTCTTGAAGTACATGTACTTCATCCCTTGACTCGGCACTTTCGTCATCTCGCGTTCAAAGTACGCGAGTCAGTTTAATCCCCGGCCTCCACACGGGTCGGTGCTTATTACTTTCCAAAGATTGCGTGTTCTGAGACACTGGCCTCTTCTCATCTCTCTCTCACGCTCACCACCCCCCTATACCCTCTCCCTCGAACCTGACAATCACGTTATGCGATGAGGTTGTCACTCCGTGTTAGTGCCGCTGCCGCACTGATTGTCCTTACTCTCGTCTTGGTCTGTCGCAATCTGAAGACCAAAGGTGAATCGCTTCAGGATATATGGCACTTCGATACCGGCTCCTTCCGCACATCCCTAAGGCCAAAACCTGAACCTGATACCGGATCGCAACGGAAATGGCGGGTCGCATCGGATAATAAACCCGCTTTGGTTTACCAGACCACCGAGATCGTGGTCCCCAACCAGGGCGCCATTGTGATGGCCAAGCGCAAGGAGGAAGATACCGCTTGGGTTGGCGCAGAACTGTCAGAGTGAGTGCGACTCGATTGTGTTCCCGGAAGAAGATAGCCTAATTGAATATCTCCAGATGGCGCAGCGTCATTTACACCGTCGACGATACCAATGCCCCGACGCACACCCCAAAGAACAAGGGTCGCGAGGCTCTTCCCTACCTTCAATACCTGGTCGACCACTACGACGACCTTCCAGACGTCGTAGTCTTCCTGCACAGTCACCGCGACGGCGTAATCGCCGGCTGGCACATCGACACCATGGATTACAGCAACGTCGACTCGGTGCGGGCATTGCAGAAAGAATTCGTGCAGCAGGCAGGCTTTGTCAATTTGCGTTGCCAACTGAGCCCAGGCTGCCCCTCGGCCATCCAGCCATTCCGTCAACCTCCGAATCCCGAAAGCCCCGGCGAGGCACACTACGCTGCTGCGTGGAAACAGCTGTTCCCCGGTGAGCAGGTTCCCCGCGAAATCGCCGCCCCGTGCTGCTCCCAGTTTGCCGTATCCCGAGAGCAGATTCTCCAGCGCCCCCATAGCGATTACCAGCGCATGTATGACTGGGTAATGGACAATGATCTGCCGGACGAGGCTACGTCGAACATTATGGAGTACTCATGGCACATCATTTTCGGCAAGGACCCTGTCTTGTAAGTTGTCCTGCAATTGTATTACTTTCCCCGCTAACACGATTGATTGCAGCTGCCCCGATTTGTTCCAATGCTACGCAGATGTCTACGGCGAAGAAGTCATCTTTAACTACTGATCATTTCAAATCACTCTCCTGATGCCTACAAGGGCCGATAGCTCTCTTGTATTTCAACCGGAATACGTTTCTTTATTACCCGGCACTTGCCGGAACTCCCCACGGGAGAAATACCATGGTCACTGGAAAGACGCAGTGCCAATGCCACATGATGACTTGCTTCAATGTCTATTTTTTTTCCTGTCAGAAGCAAATGTACAAAGACTGAAATGTGCCGCGAAGGCTATCACAGTGATATCATCTGTCTCGCCTCGAGTTGCACGTCCAAGTCATGAGCATGAGATATTCCTTTTGTGCTACGGCACCCATGTATATTTTATTTCATTCAAATTTTTATTCCTGTTCAGTCATACACAGGATAGCTACCGTGTAGCTATCTATACATTGTTATCCCGGAGAACCATCTCCCTGGCGACCTCATCCCACCGATACATCCCCCCACTACCGACATTATAGTGATAATAATTATTCGTCCCGCCAGGAACAACAGCCCGCCGAAAGGTGACGTTAATCCGTCCTCTCGTCGCCTCCCAAGCCTTCCCCTTCCGCTTAGGAATACTATGCAACCAATTCGACTGTGTCGCCCCGCGCATAACAACCATATCGCCTGACCCAAGACTGATCTTGATCTGCTGCAGTGGCACCGTAGCAGCAGGCCTAGAACCGGGAGATGAGACGGTATTCAACGTCCCAACCGAATCCGTGCAACTCCGCCACGTCGCACTGGTACTACCAGGCCCGGACATTGCGCGCGCAGCACTAAGCACGCATTCACCGGCCGTCCGGTCCACAATTTCCCCGGATACGAAAGGCTTATGCTTCATTAGAAAATCCCGCTCGCCGCCCAGCGAGAGCGAGGCGATATTCGGCTCGGATCCGAGGAAGCGCTCGTCATCGGAGTGGTACGCGATACTGTCGTCTCCGCTGGCGTAGTAATTTACCAGGCAGAAATTGTAGCCAGGGTTTTTATTATCCGCGTTTGCGGTCGCATTCGCGGCTTCGACTTGTCTCCGTAGGAAATCGAGACAAGCTGGGATTGGGCGCGGCGTGCACTGGTATTTTGTTTTCGGGGTTGGGGTTTTGGTCTTTGTTTCTACTAGAACGAGGCTGCTGGGGTCGTCGCCTTGTTCTTGAATGAATGTCGACGTCTCATCGACTCCGAAGACTGTTGTCCATCGCGGTGTGTTGATTTGCGTTTTGGTGTCGCCGCGGCGTGCTGTGTATTGGACGCGGTAGAAGGGGAGTTCGCGACGGAGGAATTCGAATAGCTCGTTTGCTGTTGGGCGCGGGATGTATGGCTGAAAGTGAAGGAGGTCGAGGTGTGGTCGGTTGCTGATTTCGCGGGGTGCGATTGCTGGCGTTGCGTGTTCTAAGCCTACTTCGATGTGGGAGGGGAGTTGGGCGATTGGGATTGGGTAGCTCGGGTGTTGGCTTGGTGGGTTGGTGTCTTCGATTGAGGTATCGTTTGGCTCTGGGGGTGAGATTGCGGTTGCGGTGTTAGATTCGATGGGTTCGGTCTTAGGACGTTTCGGAGCTGCGCTTGATGGTCTGAAGAATGCGTCGAGCGTGCGTTTGGCCATTGTGGAATGAGAAGGTGTTGGGAATTGGTAATTGGGATCGAGGTTGCATGTCCATGCGCGCGACTTGGAGAATTTATCGGTGATGTCATTTCGAACCCGATCTATAATTCCCGATCTACACATCCCGATCTGGATTGGCATACATTTTGTAGAGTGATTATCATGGCGTTCATTCACAGGGCAACTCGAGATAACTTTCTCGGGCCATATAACTACTGCTGAACTCCCTCAGTCTCGGCTATCTTAACCACATACTTCACCGCAGATGCCTTGCCAGCCTCGAGATCTTTCAATGCACCCTGGAGACCTCCCAATCCACCTTTCCTCACTTCATATGGGTGGCCTGAGAACCAACCCTGTGCCAGACCTCGACCAATGAATGGGAAGAAAGCAGCTCCGAATTCCTTATCACCAAGAGTCTGGCCCTCAGCAGGGGGCATATGAACAGACCCAACCATAGTCCGATGGATGCTAACTTGCTCCTGCACCTTATCAGCCTCCGCAGGTAGAACGACAGTGATCTTCCCGGGTGTATCCAGAGTGATGCCGAGATTCACGTAGCTTCCCTTCTCAGACACGGCATCGTAGGCATGGTGAATGGGTGTCCCCTCGCTGGCAGCCTTGATCGCCGAGCGGACGGCATCATCGCCTTCACGATAATCAATGATCGTGTCTCCCTTTTCTCTGCTGATCAACGTCTCGACGAAGGGTGCGCCTTTGCCTGCAACAGCGATGATAGGGTGGATGTTCGATAGCTGAGCGAACTTGATCGCAAATGCGCCAACCGCCGAGGCACCGCCGTACACAACCAGCGGAGTCGGCTTATCCGCAGGGGCCCAAGGCAGAGGCAATTTCAGTCTTTGATAAAGGCCCAATGCAGCAGTCATCGCAGCGAGGGGGATAGTAGCAGCCTCTGGTCGATATGTTCAGTATCATCCCTATGATAATTAGACGCGGGAGACATACCTTCAAAGCTGGTCTTCTCGGTGAGATGGAATGTCGTATGTTCCCATGCAATGGCGTACTCCGCATAACTTCCATGCGGGCTGAGCATCTCGTGGAACGCAGCCACTTTGTCTCCCTTGCGGAAGTTCCGGACTCCTTCTCCCACTGCCTCCACGTACCCCGCGATATCATCTCCCTGGTTCAAGGCATCATCTGGTGTCCATTTGGGGAGTTTCCAGTCCTTCGGGTTGGTACCCGACACCACTACCCGGATGAGGACCTGGCCGGGTTTGGGAGTGGGGATATCAACGTCGCGGATGGTGACCGAAACGGTCTTGCCAACAATGGCTTCTTTCATTTTGTGATTTGGGACTTGATGGTGGAATTCTAAGAGGTTAGTCTACGGGCTCAAACAATTTATATTAGTTGATTTGTAATTGATGTCTCCGGGTCGAATGACTAATGGAGCCAGGGGAATGAGGCGATACAAGTGGGGATCAGATATCTACGTATGTAGCTCCGTCACCTGGCACATGTAGACGAAATAAGACTGGCTATAACTAGTTCTCCTTGGTCTGATATTGAGGAATGTTCTCCCCTGCCCGCCACTTGTACTTGCTCCCAGGATGATCTTCCGGCAAACGGTTCGATCCAATAAACACTTCGCGAGCTGTGGCACCTTCTTTCTCAATCTCCTCTCGAAAGAGCCCTCTCTGTCGCAGTTCAGGCAATAGGAACTCAATGATATCTTCGAATGTACCAGGATTCACAATATGGGCAAGATTGAAGCCATCCACACCGGAGATCTCCACCCATCTTTCCAACTCATCTGCAACTGTCGTAGGACTGCCAACAACCTTGGCCTGTAGTCCACCCACACTTATGTACTCTACAATTCTCCGTTTCGTCCATGGCAAGCTATCCGTGCCTGGCACGGTAGCAGACCATCTCCGAACAATGGACTGGACTCGCGGCGAGTGGCTGAACCGGAAATCCTCATCATCAGCATGACTTGACAGGTCGACTCCGGTCCATCCACCGAATAAGGCAAGTGCGCCTTCATCGTCGGCGTATTCAAGATATTCCTCTCGCTTCGCTTTTGCTTCTTCATCTGTCGCTGCGACAATCACATTGATACCCACGATGATTTTGATATGATTGGGATCACGGCCTTGCTGTTTGGCAATATTCCGTATATTATCCACTGTCAAGCGAGTACCCTCGGGAGTCTGACCACCAACGAAGATCGCCTCGCCATGCTTTCCACCGAATTGACCGCCGGCCTCGGAGACACCGGCTTGGAACAGGAACGGTGTACGCTGTGGCGACGGCTCGCAGAAATGAGGCCCAGGGACATCAAAGTATTTCCCTTTGTGGTTTATCTCTCGCACCCCGTCGCTAGCAATATATGTTCCTAGGTGTCGGTTGGCAAGCACGGCATCGTCACGGAAACTCCCTTCCCAGAGCTTGTAGAGCACCTCAAGATATTCATCTGCTATTGCATAACGCTCATCGTGAGGAATCTGCTCGCTCAACCCGTGGTTTCGGGCTGCGCTGTCTAGATACGACGTGACGATATTCCATGCCACGCGACCCTGGCTGAGATGGTCCACGGTAGAGAGTCGGCGTGCGAGCGCGTATGGTTTCTCGTATGTCACGCTGGCAGTAACTCCAAAAATGAGGTTCCTTGTGACAGCGGACATGGCAGGGACAAGGTACAACGGGTCATTGACGGGAAATTGAGCGCCTGATGCCAACGTGGGCACAACATTACTAGGGCCCTTGTACACATCGTACGCCCCCAGGGTGTCCGCAATGAACATCGCATGAAAACCAGCTTTGTCAAGCAACTGGGCTAGGTCGGTCCAGAATGATAGTGTCTTGTACTGGTCGGTCTTGTTTCTAGGGTGCTTCCATAGCCCGGGCGCCAAATGGCCTGGGGTATTCATGACGAAGGCATTGAGGATGATCTGCTTTTTGCCAGAGGTTGGTATGGTTTCACCCATTTTGAGCTGGAATTATTTGAATTTGCACCGAATTTAAATGAGGCACCGAGGTCTAAACGTTGAGTCTCGAGCGACGGGCACCCGCTTTGTATATGTAGCAGGCAGAAGTATACGCCAAGCGGTGTCACCATCGCGCAGGATCGTTGCAGGTTTATCTCCCGTTTGTAATCGGCATTCGACATTTGCGACGAATATTTTGAATCCCATATCGGCCGATAAATTAACCTTCTGTGTGGGGTACGCAGCTACCCTTGTGTTTCGCGATTCAAACTCGTTTTATCGCAATCTGGAAGCCAAGGCACGCAATCCCAATCACAATCCCCCTCACACTCATATACATTCCGCAACTACGAAATATTCAGCTTATTAGCTTGCTTTTGATCTTCCAATCACGGTGTGTCTAGACCTGTTACTCGCGTCTCTACCACTCATTCCGTATAACGCAATTGCGGACATGGACGACGTGAGATATATCGCCCACATGGCAACTCTGCTTGTTTTGCAGAGGCTTGGCATTGAACATATGGTGGACTTTCCAGACAATAAATATATCTCGGCCCTGCACTTTTGAACTTGGCTTTACTTTGCCCAGACATGTCTAACACGATAGATACATCCAAGTTGGCTTTGATCCCCCAGGGGGCGGCCTATGGCCTTCTCATTGGTCTCAGCGTATTGTTCTGTGGTGTCATTTTGATTGCGGTCAAAGTGCAGAAAGCATATCTTGCTGAGGATTCTGGAAAATCGGAAATGTTCATGGTTGCCAATCGCTCCGTAGGGAGAGGATTGTGTGCATCTGCAGTCTTTAGCTCCTGGATGTGGATCAACGAGACAGTGTTGTGCGCGGCTATGACATATAGATACGGCCTTGCAGTGCCTCTGGTATGCTACCTTATACCATCAAATGATCTTACACGACTGACTGTCCATAGTGGTGGGGATCTGGTCTATGTTTCCAAATTGCACTGATGGCAGCACTCGGTGTTATGGCCAAGATTCGAGTTCCTTATGCTCATACATCGCTTGAAGTGGTTCGAATGCGTTATGGCAGGATTGGACATCTCGTGTTTATCGTGCTCAACCTCGTCAACAACGTCTTCGGCTGCGCCTCGATGATTATGACGGGCTCTCAGCTCATTCATGGTGTTTCTGGCATGCACTATGTGGCAGCAACTATCCTCGTTCCCCTTGGAGGTTCGTCTAGTTTCTCTTTGAAGATATCATAGGAATGAAGAGCTAACTTCTTTATAGTTGTACTCTATACAGCTGTCGGTGGCTTGAAAGCCACGTTCCTGACGGACTTTCTGCACACGGCCATTGCACTCATTCTCATTATCTATTTTACGATCGCTGTTTTGACAAACTCGGCGGTTGGTGGACTAGGTGGTTTGTATGATAGAGTTATTGCAACAGCTGCGGATAATTACATTCCCGGCAACTATGAAGGTTCACTTCTTACATTCAAGTCCAAGGATGCAATTATTTGGGGGTTGATTCTCAAATTTGGAAACCTGGCACTTGTCGTCATGGTAAGTCAAGCTCGCAAGCAATCTCTGAAACGTCTTTGTTTTAAAAAGCTAATATGTCATTGGTAGGACACCGCATTTTGGCAAAAGTCCTTCGCGACGGAGGTGAAGGCAACAGTGCCAGGATACAATATCGCTGCTTTGGCTGTTTTCGGTGTCCCCTGGGGCTTGGGCACAGTCATCGGTTTGGCAACGAGAGCAATTCACGATACACCAATCTTTCCGACTTACCCTGGTCAGCTCACCGCCACTGAAGTCAGCTCAGGAATGGTGATGCCATACACCATCAAAGCACTCATCGGAGACAAAGGGATTATTGGATTCTTCTTCCTTTTGTTCATGGCTTTGACAAGTACCGTTTCCTCCTCGATGATCGCTGTTAGTAGCATCTTGTCTTACGACATCTATAAGACATATATCAACCCAAAAGCTACCGACAAGAAAATTGTGCGAGTGAGCCACTTGACTGTGGTTATCCACGGCGTCTTTATCACCGGAATTTCCATCGCCCTCAATTATGGAGGAGCAAACATGACATGGATCGGGTACCTGAGACCCATCATCTCGTGCCCAGGAATCATCCCCATGATCCTAACTTTGTTCTGGTCTCGACAGACCCGGATAGCTGCAATTATCTCTCCCGTGCTTGGCTTCTTTACAGGCCTCGCTGTCTGGTTGGCAACAACCAAGTATATGTATGGCATTATCAACATCACGACCACTACAAATCCTTATCCAGCACTATATGCAGCCATCGCTTCCTTCTTTTCGCCGGCTCTCTATTCCATTGTCCTGTCATTATACAAGCCTTATAAGTTCGACTGGAGAGTGTTCCTTCGAATTGAACTGGCAGATCAAGCAGAAATCCAGTCGTCACCCTCAGACACTAGCACATTGAACGAGAGCAACGAAGAAGACCACGCAAGTGATTCGAAGGGTGTCTCGGAATCCGTCAAACCGGTCGTTTGTAGTCAACCAGAAAGCATCAACAACGACCCAGAGCAGATTATTGGCGCCATCAGCGAAAAGGGTCCCACGAAGAAAGCTTTGTCGCCATCTTCTATGGAAATCACCCTTGATGATATTCAGCACCCATTCGATGACTCAACTTTGAAAGAGCTGTACAGATGGCTCAAGATTGCTTGGTACATGTTCGGGGCTATCGTGCTGATCACGTTCGTTGCTTGGCCTCTTCCACTGTATCGCGACTATATCTTCACTAAATCATTCTTCGGTGGTTGGGTAGTTGTCGGCATCATTTGGCAGTTCGCTGCTTTTGGGGCGGTTGTGATTTTCCCACTTTATGACGGACGCCAGGATATTGCGATCGGTGCGAGGGGTATCTGGAAGTCTTCTAAAGAGTATATCGGCAGGGCCAAGAGAAGTCAGACGAGCTAGACGGATAATTGGATTACTCGGAAATTATGCGCTGTGAAAACAGAGCGGGGACCGGATCGAGAAATAAACGGAGGGGTTAAGCCCGCCAGCTTTGTACATATCTAGTCTTCTTAAATATGAGTCTTCGTGGCAACATTAGACTCATCGTTAGCGACGTACCGATTTTAACCTCAACCATGTCTGTCAAATCTCAGAATATTTACGACAACCCAGAGTTCTTCCTTTCATACCGGAATATGGAGCTGAGCCATAATGCCAAAATCTTCTCATACTAAAGGTCTCTCACTGGGCGGGATGTGGCTCGAACAGTCGGACGATGATGGAGAAGATTGCGAGTGCGGCGAAAGTCGCGATAATGCTCAGTCCGACTGAACTAACCAAACGCCGTTATCTTCACATGTATTACATCAATTGTCAATGTTAGTTATCTTGACTTGTCTACATTTCCCCGCGAATGGCACATACCGGAAGAAGCTATCACTGTGATGACGAGCGGCAGCGCTGGAATGTCTGAAGGGGAGAAGAAGCTAAGTCATCGAATTGGCTAGATCCTTCTGTGGTAGGAGATGCGACAAAAGTCAGATTGTCGGACTGTTTACCAAGCAATGGGTTTGTGGGGTTCAGCGAGGCTTAGCCAGAGATGCACTAAGCTGAATATAGTATACACCGCGATATTGAGCAGATGCAATTGGCCAATCTTGATTCCGAGTGGAGTATCTTATAGTTCACAATGCGCGTGGCTCTCCAGGGCTGATATCGAAGTTAATTGCACTGCCTTACGATAAGGGAAAGATAGGAAATCAATGCGAGCTGACGAGCTGAGATGGCATTGGAGGAGTTAAATAGCAGGCAATAACCCATAAGTCGAGGGTAATACAAGCATCAGTCAATTGTCTGTTTCCCTCTTGATTTCAATACTCCTCATTCTTATTTGCGACTATGACCATCGATTACCGACATGGGATCTCGATCCTAGAGCTCATTGTTTACTCTCCAACTCTCTTCCTTGCTCTCTGGATGGCATTGCATCATGGTTTCAAAAGAAGCTCGGGCTGGTTTTTTTTCATCCTATTTTGTCTTGCCCGCATTGTTGGCGCAGCATGCTACTTGGCCACGATTCACCATGCTTCCGATGTTGATCTATACATTACCTGGGCCGTTTGTACTTCACTCGGACTGTCACCCTTACTGTTGGCTTGCATTGGACTTTTATCACGAGCGTGGGCAACACCTTTACTTGCGATTGAGTTTGATGATTTGAGGCTAACAACATTTCTTAGAAATGATTCTATTATGCGAAAGACCGCGAAAGCTCTCCCCCTGGCGGTATTCCGACTTGTTGGACTATTTGCACTAGTGGGCGTGATTTTGAGCGTCGTCGGCGCAACCAAAAACTCCAATATTGCCCATGGCCTTGTCACCACAGAGACGAAGGTCGGGCTCATCTTCTACCTTGTTGCCTGGATCGGTGTGTGCGGACTGTTCCTCCTGCTTTTGAAACGAACTGAAAGTATTGAGGATGGAGAACATCGCCTCCTCCTGGCCGTGGGAGTCTCTCTCCCCTTGATCCTCGTGCGATTAACCTACTCTTTCATCTATAATTTTGGTCAAAACGCCGAATTCAATATGCTATCAGGAAATGTTACAATTCAGCTTGTGATGTCTGTCCTACAAGAGCTTTTGGTTGTTCTTGTGTGCCTGGGTATTGGCCTTACACTTCAAGTACGACCAGCCGCAGAGTACACGCAGCAGTCCAGTGTCTACAGAGGAGAACAGAATTCAATGGAGCCTGAGAGCGGCCATCTACAGGGACAAACGCGTGGACGAGCCCAAAACCCAAAGCGTCGGGGTGGTCCCATTACGGGACTCATAATGTCTATTGTGGATGAGGTCAATACCCGGAGGCAATGAATGAAATCCGTCATGGTCATATTCATACATAGTTATATTTCTGATTGGAGCGCTGGGACACGGGGGCCAGGATCGGTAATTGGATTTAAATGGATACATGTGATATTTAGACTACATAGAAAGAATATTTTATTTAGGCACCAGTATGTAATAGCGTATGTAGATCTTTTTCTGCTCCGTGTGAAAGTGTAATCCTCTCTTTAGGAAGTGTTCCTGTAATTCCTTACTCGAAATATACTTTCTTGATTGCTGTGAAATTGCCAAGTAGAATAATTATTTTCCGTTATTTTCCATTTTCCATTTTGTTGAGGTTGGATATTGAAGATCTTGAAGTGAAAATGTATGACGTCAGTGGCAAGGTGAAGGAGAGCCGCGTAAAAAAGGGGCAACAAGTAAACGGGTTAAAAAGAAAAAAAGTCTGACCTCAACTGCAACCCCTTGTCTCTCCAATGGATCCAAGCGCGGATACCCCCTTGTTTATTGCGCAGGAGACTCTCTGCTTCTATCCAATCAGTACAATATACAACTCATGTCCACGTTATCTCTTCTATGCGCTTCTGCTGGCAACTTGTGTCACTCGATGGACAGGATGGGTCATGGACGTATTCCTAGGAACTGCAGCGGCATACGCAGGAACTGCGGCAATTCACGCCTTCATTCTGGTCTCTAGTCACCAACCACTGCAAGACCCTGGGAATGTCGCTATTCCGTACCTGTCCGCTAACTCCAGTCTGCGAAATTACTTTCCTTCCTTGGTAACTGAAACAGACCATGTTATGATCTCGCCCGCATCACTTGAGCTTGACGCAGATGCTGTTCTTGCCATCGTTGTCACTGGTTATCTCGTCTTCCTGCCCCTCCAATGCTGGTCCCGCATCTTAACCCACGATCGAGCACGGAACCTTCTCTTTTATCTTTGGCATGCCCTCATGTTGGCTGGATCTGTATGTGCCCTCGTCTATGCCTCGAGAGTACCGAAAACACCACCCCAGTACATGTTTTGCTTCCCTGATCTCGCGCCGCCCAGCGACACATCAAATGACGGCTGGCAAGCCTCATGGAGAACATCCACTTGGAACGAGAGTGTGTGGGATACATTTTCGAACATATCGCTATGGAATAAACTAGGGGATATCTGCTTCAACCCATGTTTTAATTCAACGCAAATTTTACGAAAACCAGGCTCATTGCATTCAGCCACCTCAGGCGGAGACTTTGAAGTCACTACCACCCATGGCTTCTGGGAAAAGGTCCTTTACTCGCATCGATACATCTACAGTCTCATTATCCTCTGTCTGATTCTTAATGGCCTCCTCTTGACTTATCGATTCCTACCTTACCGATCACGGATTCCATCAGCGCAGATCGTGGTCATCTGGAAAGAACGAAAGACTATTTGGAAAAGCTTCAAAGATGAAATTCGTGGTGCCATGAGGCCACTAAGCAGCTCGGGTGACGGGTTGCTTAGTGGCAGTGAGGAAGAACCAGGACTGACAAACGAGAAGACCGCTGTCTGGCGCCGAATGCGATACATACTCAGCCGCCAGTTCCTCAAGTCGTCTCTCCATGTGCTTGTTGACGCTGCAATCCTTTTCGGAATACTCTTCAGCATGATAGTCAGTCCGTTCACCATAGTTGCCTTCGTCGTTTGGATAGAGATCCAAATCGCCAACGATGGACCATCAGAGGAAACTCCCAGGCAGGTTGGTCAGTGGGCGTACGCTACGTCACTAGCACTGCTTGTGATTTCGGCCGCGATTTTGAAGCTCAAATATCGACTCGCTTCATCGGTCGAGCTGGAGCGTGAGATTTCTGAATTGAAACAACACCTGGGGAACTTAGAGAAAATGAAGGAGGCACGATCGGAGTCTTGGTCGGCTGACCTGCCGACTAGCAAATGAGACACTATTGACAGGGAATCTGGCGATCAATTATCCGGATGTATTCATCGTTCTAGCTCCCCCGTTGCAAGCTATTTAAAACAAAGAAGATGTGGATAATATCGTTTAGGTCGTCTAGTCTTTCTTGGACTGTCTTGCTTGGTTCACCACGCGTAACCGAATACACCTTGTACCTATTTGAGACTGGCAGGACTAAATTCCCTGACAGATGCCAAGGGATAGTGACATCTCTGATATGAGAACTATAGATGACAGTACGGAGTATTGATGTGGGTGACAGGTAAGCCGAAGAGTTTCTGGACCATCGCGATCAACGCAGAGTGCGTTCTACGCTGGCCTGCATATCCAGGCCAGGCCAGGCGTGGGCAGGCAGCCCTAATTGATTCTGGGCTGTTTTCACCCGACCAGACTGCATAAGGCACAATGCAGGACTCGGCTTGTTCTCAACACTTTCCTTCAATCACCCGTTCACTGCTAGCGAGATAGTCTTCGTCCTGAACGTCAAATGCGCATTCTCGCAAGATTCACTGAGAGGCAGGATTTCTTTCAATACAAGTTGAAGGCGGAGCGATTCTTCAAAAGAAGCTCTCAGTCTCGCGAGTTGGCGCCGTACTCGCCAACCTCGCTCGGCCCCTTCCAATGCATTTCCTACATACAGACTTCTAGATAAAGATTGACTCTGCATGGTGCATCATCCTTCTCTTAGCAGTATCCGCCTTTCTGTCTCTAAATCGAGGGAATCAAAGGCCCCTTTTAACAGGCTGCGAAAGTCTCGTGTATTGTGCCTGTTTGTATATACGCTTGACCAGGATCCATGCACCTGATGGTATAATAGCTGGGAGACTAAGGATTGCTCCAGTTACGTCGCAGCGATAGTCTTCTTTCCGAGAAGATCGCCTTGGCAGTCGTGCGGGGGACCACCTCGTACCCGAATAGGATCAACAAACCAGCCCACTATCTTTGTTATTCGTGACACATTGAGGTCAGTGCTTGGAAAATCCTCAACAACAAGATATTCGGTTCGACGATGTCTTTCTGTTGGCATATGGCACGCGCTATTGACGAATTTTACATTTGACACCTTGCTTCCCCCCCTTTTTAAGGTTAGTTAGTATACTTTCTTTGTTCTACCATTTTGTAGGGGTCATACATCCACACAATTAAGACAAAGAAAATTTTCCCTTGCCATTACTACAAGCACCTACAACATATACAATATGAAACTCACAGAGACACGATCATCCAAAGGGTTCCGTGAGCGTCGCGCTGATGTCGTTGAGGGCATTGATGCAGGCAGAAAGCCTTCACACATACCACTCTGGCAATCGATCATGAAATTCCCCAGAATAGTGGGCTATTGCCTCGCACTAAGCTCGGCAATTCTTCTCTACGGATATGACCTTGTCATTGTGGGGACGGTGGCTGCGATGCCTCAATTCCAGTAAATAAAACCCCCAAAATAATATAATACGTCGTTGCTGACACGCGAAAGACTTGTTTTCGGCCAAGACCTCAACGGAAAGCACATATTCCCTTCAATGTGGCTTTCTCTTTGGAACGTCTCCAGTTTCATAGGCTTGATGTTAGGCTCCATCCTCGGTGGTTACTATCAAGATCGTCGTGGGCGTCGGATTACGCTCGTATAGGCGGTTCCCTATCCACCATTGCGGTCGCGATATGCTACATCTCCGATCTACCGGACGGAATGGAGACTTGTCGAGGGTATTCTTCGCCGGTAAACTCTTCCAGGGGATTTGTATCGGCATTCTTCTGTGTGTTACACAGACATACATGTCCGACGTACTCCTTGTTGTCCTCCGAGGACCGATCATTGCATTCTATCCGATCTTCACACTTCTTGGACAACTAGTCGGGTCGATCGTGGTTTATACTTCGCTCAAGCATACAGGCGCACAGTCGTACCGGATTTGTTTTGCGTCGCAATGGCCGTTCTCGGCTGTCCCCTTTGTGCTAGCTGCGCCAGAGAGTCCAACCTGGCTTTTGAGAAAGGGACGGACGGACAAGGTTCTCAACGCACAGAGAAAGCTTGATACGACGCATGTCAACTCGCAAGCTGTGGTCGACGAGTTACAAGCGTCAATTTTAGCAGAGGACGAGGAGAGCGCAACTCATAAATACGCCGATTGTTTCAGAGGAGTCAATATGCGCCGAACTTTGATTGTGGCTTTTGCAAACGTGATACCCCAGATGTTCGGACTGCAGCTCCTGGCAAATGCCTCCTACTTTATGCAGGTCGTGGGTATGGGCGCATCTAATAGCTTGGTATTCTTGATTTTGGGTATCGGGCTGGGCCTGATTGCAAATGTTATCTGTCTATGGGCGCTGAATGCCTTTGGGAGAAGATTCCTCATTCTACTGACTTTGGGTATTGTTATGGTTCTATGGTTAGCGATAGGAATAGCTGGGATCTTCAAGGGAACCGTGACGATTTGGTAAGTATCGGACACCTAGGATGATGAGCTAACTTGGCGGCACTAGGTACGCAGCAGTTAGCATGATGATTATCACTATGGTCTCTGGTCTCGGGCCGTGGTTTGCGTCTCATGTGGTTGCCGCCGAAGCGTCCTCACTGCAACTCCGAGCCAAGACCCAAGGTATTGGGTGATTCACTCGCGGTATTGGAACTGGAGTGTTTGCCATCATCTTGCCGTATATCTACAACATAGATCAAGGGAACCTGAGGGCGAAAACGGGGTTCGTGATGGCGGGATTCGCGGCAGTTGCAGTCATGTAGTGTGGCTGACTATCCCAGAGATGAAAGGGCGGACGCCAATGGAGATTGATCGCATGTTCTCCATGAGATTACGGACTCGGGCATTCAAAAATTGGCATAGTGATGTGACTCTTGGGAGCGAAGCAGAGGACACTCATCGCCCGCGAAAGGATGATTATTCTTTCCACACAATTGTTGATGGTATGAGGCGGGACTAGAAGAAATCGCAGTGAGCTATCAAAACACCGATATCACTTGCGTTTCTAGCTCGCTCCTTGGAGACAGAATTTTAGCAATCAACTTGAAAACCAAGCTTACTTTCGTTTTCTCTGGTTCAGATTCAAGCCCCACTGGGCGATGATGGAGTAAATATATAATTGGGCCTAATATTACGGTCAGCCGCTAAATCTGACCTGGGATACGGATTTGCTCGACCCTGTTAGCTGTCCCAGACATCCTTTCTCATCAGCAAGTACAGAGAAGTGCGAAACCACCTTCTCGAAATTACACTATTTTGTTAATTCTGAGCACTAGTGCTAAGACTCTAGCCTGAAAAATGGGTGCTGTTTAGCATTGTATGAGATGTGCTTTTTTCCCTCCCTGCTGGCGTCGAACTCTCTAGATCTAGTCACCGACTCAGCTATCTAGAACTGTGACAACCCACAACACGAAAGGCTGCGTGGTATCTGGAACTTTGCCGGAGCTTGATGGCATATTCCATTAGCACGATAAGGCCATTCGAATTATGTTTTCTATCAGGCCTTTATACAAAGAGAATAGAAATAGAGGAAGGAGTGAAAATGGAACTCTGAGAATCGAAATCATTGACGCCTGCTATATACGAAATCGTATGATAGAAACACGCCCTGATTCGTGTCCCAAAGCAAGCGAATTCAAACTAATCGCGTAACAGCTGGCCCGAAAGTCAGGGGGAAGCCATAGTACGTTTTGGCCGTTCAGATTTATCCACTCTCCCAGCTCAACAGAGATCCCCAGATTCCTGTTGGTTGGATTAGAAGCGTAATTTTCGGAGCCGGCCTGAACTTCGAGTATGCCTGAGTTGGTGATTAGATATGAACCGTCTTGACAAAATTCGATTTTGTTGACAATTTCCGTAGTGCTCAAGGTCTGCTGCAGGCCGCCCGTCGCCGTGTCCCAGAGCCGTACTGTGTGATCATTGGAACCCGATGCCAGCACCTGGCTATCGGGAGAGAAGGCCGCCGACCAAACCGAGTTCGCATGGCCCTTGAGGATCTGCTGGAGGGCGCCCGTCACCGTGTCCCAGAGCCGTACTGTGTGATCATCGGAGCTAGATGCCAGCAGCTTGCCATTAGGCGCAAAGACCACCGAGTTAATCGAGTTCGTATGGCCCTTGAGGATCTGCTGCAGGCCGCCCGTCGCTGTGTCCCAGATTCGCACTGTGTCATGCCAGGAGCCAGATGCTAGCGCCTGGCTATTGGGCGAGAAGGATACCGAGTTAACCGAGTCCGAACGGCCCTCGAAGATCTGCTGCAGGCCGCCCGTCACTGTATTCCAGAGCCGTACTGTATGATCATCGGAGCCAGACACCAGTAGCTGGCTATTAGGTGTAAAGATTACCGAGTTAACCGAATCCGAATGACCCTCGAAGATCTGCTGTAGGGAGCCAGTCGCCGTGTCCCAGAGCCGTACTGTGTGATCATTGGAGCCAGACGCTAGCACCTTGCCATTAGGCGAGAAGGACACCGAGTTAACCGAGTCCGAGTGACCTTTGAGGATCTGCTGTAGGCCGCCCGTCGCCGTGTCCCAGAGCCGTACTGTGTGATCATCGGAGCTAGACGCTAGCAGCTGGCCATCGGGCGAGAAGGCCACCGACCAAACCGAGTTCGTATGGCCCTTGAGGATCTGCTGGAGGGCGCCCGTCACCGTGTCCCAGAGCCGTACTGTGTGATCATTGCAGACGGACGCCAGCACCTGGCCATTAGGCGCGAATACCACCGACCAAACCGAGTCTGTATGGCCCTCGAGGGTCTGCTGTAGGCTGCCCGTCGCTGTGTTCCAGAGCCGTACTGTGTGGTCATTACAGCCGGACGCTAGCAGCTGGCTATCAGGCGCGAAGACCACCGACCAAACCGAGTCCGAATGACCCTCGAAGATCTGCTGTAGGGCGCCAGTCGCTGTGTCCCAGAGCCGCACCGCGTTATCATTAGAACCCGACGCTAGTACCTGGCCATTAGGCGAGAAGGCCACAGACCAAACCGAGTCTGTATGGCCCTCGAAGGTCTGTTGTAGGTCGCCCGTTGCTGTGTCCCAGAGACGTACTGTGTGGTCATCAGAGCCGGACGCTAGCAGCTGGCCATCAGGCGAGAAGACCACCGACCAAACTGAGTCTGTGTGGCCCTTAAGAGTCTGCTGCAGGGCGCCTGTCGCCGTCTCCCAGATCCGCACTATGTGATCCCAGGAGCCGTACGCCAGTAGCCGGCCATCGGACGAAAGGGCCACCGAGTTAACCGAGTCCGTATGGCCCTCGAGGGTCTGCCACAGGCTACCGGTCGCCGTGTCCCAGAGCCGTACTGTACAATCTTTAGAGCCAGACGCCAGCAGCTGGCCATCGGGCGAGAAGGTCACCGATTTAACCCAGTCCGAATGGCCCTCAAGAGTCTGCTGCAGTGTGCCTGTTGTCGTGTCCCATAGCCACACCTTGTTATCCCATGAACCAGACGCTAGTAGCCGGCCGTCGGACGAAAAGGCTATCAAGTCAATCGTGTCCGAATGCCCCTCCAAGATCTGCTGCAAGGTGCCCGTAGCCGTGTCCCAGAGCCGTACTGTACAATCACCGGAGCCAGACGCCAGCACCTGGCCATTAGGCGAGAAGACTAATCGCCAAACCAAGTCCATATCGGTCTCGAGGGTTTGCTGCAGGGAGCCAGTCGCCGTGTCCCAGAGCCGTATTGTCTGGTCATCGGAGCCGGACGCCAGCACCTGGCCGTCGGGTGAGAAGGCCACCGAATAAACCCGGTCTAAATGGCCCCCGAGGGTCGGTTGTAGGGCGCCCGTCGTCATGTCCCAGAGCCGTCCTGTCTGGTCATCGGAGCCGGACGCCAGCACCTGGCCATTGGGCGAGAAGGTCACCGAGTGAACTAAGCCTGAGTGGCCCTCCAAGGTCTGCTGCAAGCAGCCCGTCGTCATGTCCCAGAGTCGCACTGTGCCATCCCAGGAGCCAGACGCCAGCACCTGGCCATCAGGCGTAAAAACTACCGAGTTAAACGAGTCTATATAGTCCTTAAATATCTGTTGTAGGGTGCCCGTTGCAATATCCCAGAGCTGTGCTGTCTGATCATTAGAGCCGGACGCCAGCAGCTGGCCATCGGGTGAGAAGGTAAATAAGCCTGAATGGCCCTTGAGAGTCTGCTGCAGGGTGCCCGTAGCCGTGTACCAGAGCCGCACCGTGCTATCCCAGGAGCCTGACGCCAGCACCTTGCCATTAGGCGAGAAGGACACCGA